ACAATGGCATTTGTTTCTTCTTGGCAAACTACTATTAGTCAATCAAATTGTAGTTTGAGGGTGGGTATTAAATATTGTGTATACAACTCTTGTTTAGTCCTATATTAGGTAGAGTAGTAGAATAATTCTATTTCATATTGTATATATAGACATCAATATCAATAAAGATAGATATCTTTTTCTTCCGATTTGCTCTGTATTTAATAGGATGATTTGTTTATGAAAAGTGTTGTAAGATCTTTCATATTTTCTAAGCTTAGTTGTGTTTGATTGGTTGTGTTTCAAACTCATTTTTTCGATGTACTCAAGCGGATATTAATTGAGGGTTGGAACTATTTAGGGCTAGGTGTTACAGATTTTCAAGAATTAGGTTAGACAACTAGTTTTGTAAGCCTACTGAATTGAGTTGTGATTCAGGGGAATTCTCGACATAGTGAGAAAGCTGTTTCGTGAGAAGGAAGAGTAGACATTGCGTGCCCTTAATTGGTTGTTAATTACTATTAACTATCATTGTTCACATTTAATTTATCTACTCCGTTGTATATTTTGTGTTTTTATCTAAAAATGGTAGCAACCCTATTCACCCCCTTCTAGACTTGCATCTCAGATCCAACACTAAGAACTACCGAATATATTTGTTCTGCTACTTGTGTCACAGCTAGATTGAATGAAAGAAACCATAAAAAGGAAGGAAGATCAAGATGCTGTGATCCGATAACGGTGGTGAGTATACATCAGACCCCTTTCTGCAGCTATATCGAGATGAGGGCATAGAGAGACACTTCACAGTTAGTCATACACCAGAGCAGAATAGGGTAGCAGATAGGTTAAATCGGTCATTGCTGGAGAAGATTCGATGTTTGTTGGCGCATAGTAGTTTGGAAAAGATCTTTTGGGCTGAGACACTTTCATATGCGAGCCACCTCATTAATAGGCTACCTTCATCTGCGATTGAGGGAAAGACCCCTATGGAGATGTGGTCGGAAGAACCAACACACGACTATGACCAGCTTAAGGTATTTGGGTACCCTGCATATTATCATGTGAAGACTGATAAGTTGGAATCTCGAGCTAGGAAGACCATATTTGTAGGATTCAAGCATGATGTCAAGGGATACAAGCTATGAGATCTAATTGATAGGAAGATTGTGCTGAGTAGAGACGTCACGTTCGATAAGGCTTCTATCTTGAAGCTTCTTAGCTTTCATCAGGTGGAGAACGACTCGACAGAGGAGATATAATAGGTGGTGGAGATCGATGCAGTTCCACATTGTCCAGATGATACAATATCTATTAGAGTACCGACTGAGGTGACGCCAGGCGAGCACGACGGCGAGGAAGAGGATACATGTATAGATGTGTAGGATCAGGGACCAACAACTCAGGTTTAGGATTCTATTACGGTTCGAAGACAGAGGAGAGATATACGGATACCAGCATAGTATACCAACACAGTAGTTGCATATGCACTTCCGGTGGAGAGTATCGATAAGTTGGTGCCTACTACATTCAAAGAGGCCGAGCAGAGTTCGGAGGCTGATTCGTGGCAGGTAGCTATGCAGGAAGAGATGGAGTCTCTTCACAAGAATGATACATGTGAGCTTGTTGAGCTTCCAAAGGGGCGGAAGGAGATTGGTTGCAAGTGGGTGTACACGAAGAAGGAGAGCATTGAAGGCACTCCAGTGATGTTCAAGGCTAGATTGGTTACGAAGGACTATGCACAGGAGGAAGGTATTGATTATAATGAGTTTTTCTCTCTAATGGTAAAGCATTCTTCGATTCAGATTTTGTTAGCTTTGGTGGCACAGTATGGATTGGAGTTAGATCAGTTAGATGTGAAGACGATATTTTTTTATGGTGATCTTGATGAAGAAATATATATGACTCAGCCATTGGGATTCCGAGCTGCAGGAAGGAAAAGTTGGTTTGTAGGTTAAAGAAATCGCTATACGGCTTGAAGTAGTCTCCTCGACAGTGGTGTAGGCGATTCGATAGATTTATGATCGGTCATTCATACACTCAGAGCCAGTTTGATCCTTGCGTGTATTTTCGCAAGTTGAAAGGAGGTGCATATATTTATTTGTTGCTTTATGTCGATGACATGTTGATTGCCTCTATTTCCAGGTCTGCTATAGAAGAGTAGAAGGCACAACTTTCAAAAGAGTTTGAGATGAAAGATTGGGGTGAGGCTAAGCGCATTTTAGGGATGGAGATCGGCAGAGACAAAGAGACGGGCATAATTTGTTTGATACATGTGACTTATTTGAAGAAGGTTCTACAATAATTTAATATTAGCATGGATACGAAGCCAGTCAGTGTACATTTGGGAGCCCATTTGAAGCTTTCAGCTGACCTTTCACCGAAGACAGTTGAAGATAGAGAGTTGATGTCGAAGACTCCACATGCGAGCGTGGTTGGGAGTTTAATATACGCGATGGTATGTACAAGGCCGGATTTGTCACAGACGGTGAGCATGATTTCGAGATACATGCATGATCTAAGAGTGGGTCATTGGGATACCGTGAGATGTATTTTGAGGTACATTCGAGGTACGCTTAATTTTGATTTAGTGTTTGAGCGGGAAACTAGAGGTGGACAGTTGTGCATTGGCTATGTTGATTCGGATTCTGCCGGGAATTTGGATAAGCGCCGGTCTACGACGGAGTATGTGTTCACTTTGACCCGTACGCCGGTGTGTTAGAGATGCACCTTACAGTCTACAGTGGCTTTGTCGATGATGGAGGCAGAGTAATTGGCGATAACATAGGCTGTGAATGAGGCTATTTGGCGTTGAGGACTTTTGGAGGAACTTGGTATATCACAGCGGTTGGTCACTATTCATTATGATAGTATGAGTGCTATCTATTTGGCGAAGAACCAGGTCTTTCATGCACGAACGAAGCACATTGACGTTCGTTATCACTTCGTTCGGGATGTTCTTGAAGATGGCGATGTGAAGATTGTGAAGGTGCACACGAAGAAAAATCCGACAGATATGCTCACTAAGGTGGTTCCAAGCAACAAGTTTGATCAACCATTTGGATGAACTACGAGCGGCTTGATCCATTGGGAGAGGGGGTACGTAGGCAGTCAATTTGATGCAGCCGGTTTGATGTGATGATACCGACATTCGGAGATTGTTCGTATTCTTATTTGGGTTCCCGACTTGTTGTGGATTGAGTCAGTTGTCGTACGTTTATTCCACTTCGTACTGGACGCAACAAGTTGGGCATTTTGGTTGGTATTGGGGTTGGCTCAGTTTTGGGAAAACGTTCGTCGAGGTGGAGAATTATAGAAACGGCGACGAAGTTCAGGAGAAAATGCAGGAGAACAATCTGTAGGTTTCACGGTCGACCGCGCATGGCACGGCGGCCGACCGCAAACGTCCATGAAACAGGAGTATGCCTTTGGACTTTTGGCGGCCGACCGCGTCCAAACCCAGGTGACACAAAAGTCTCTGGACTTTTGGTTGTCGACCGCGATTTGGGGTTTAGTGGTCGACCGCGTAGCGGATATTGGGCTGTTCTGTTTCCTGCTCTGTTTCTAATTGGGTTTTGATATATATTAGAAGCACTCGTTTCTAGGGTTAAGAGAGGAGAGTTTTATCAGATATTTGATTTTGTACTGAGCATATTGAGAGGGAGAACTTGTGAGCAATGATAGAGCTTTGCTTTAGGGTTTATTTGTGAGCTTTTGTGATATTGTAACCTTTTGTACTCTTCTTGATTTAGTGAAATCTCCTCATCTTCTCCCCGTGGACGTACGCAAATTGCTGAGCCACATATATCTCTGTGTTTGGTTTAATTTGTCGTATTTTGGATTGGATTGTCCTTGTGTTTGGTTTGTTTTTCTTCTCCCGTGGCTTACGGACTCATTTGGTGTGCGAGCACGCTTCCGCATAGACGTACGTGTGTGTGCATCAAGTTCAGAAAAATCCCATTCATATCCTGAAGTTGATTTTAAACCCATGTGAGAAGGACCCCCCAACCTCGTCGAGGAACCCACTCGGTTGCTCGTCTGTCAAGTTAGACCCGCAGCCCAATCTCACTCTACGCACATTTCAAAATATTGATCGTCCGAAATACTTCGACCAATATCATGTTCCAGTCCAAGGAAACAAGGTATTTAGACCATTTGTGATTTATGGAATGGTTTCCTCCTCTATCTTTTCTCCTTTTCCGGACCATCTTAAATCGATTAATTCATCAGCCATTACGTGTAGAAAACATTCTAAATCATAACATTCATATCTCATGATTTTTGAATCTATAGGTTTGGTAGATTTTAGCGTTTGAATTTGACTGCCTTGTCCAATTTGGTAGCTATTTATCCCTGATTAACCGTCAACCCAATCGTGGTTAAACAACTTGAATGATTAATGTGATGGAGAGATCGATTTTAAATCTACAAGAATATTTGGTGGAATTCTTTTATAATATGAAGACTTATGGGGACTAACGTGTACCGAAAAAAGTTTTTAATATCATATTATCCTTATCTTTAGATTTTATGTGGCTTAATATCAGATAATCTTTCTTAACTTTGAACGATTATTAGGAAACCCCCCTTTCAATTTCAAAAAAAATTAGTTTAACACATTAATCTGGTTTCTTGCTAAAAAAACCCTTCCACTGAAAATTGGGGGTGGGGGAGTATTTGTCCACTAAAGTTTGGGGTAATGAGCGATAAATGTGTTAGGGTGTTTTGTGATAGAACCTAAAAGTTAAAGGGTTTTGCTATAACGCCTAAACTTAAAGGGGGGCTTTTCTGATATTTCAAAAGATAATGAGTGGTTTTCTCACAATCATCCAAAGTTAAGGGTGGTTTTCTGATATCAAGCGATATTATATCCATATTTGGGAAAGGGTTAAATTAAATAGCGGATACTTTTAGATATTATAAAAGCTACCGCTAATCACACCCTAATCTCCGTATTTAACTCGTCGGTCCATCCGAATCCCCACCGCGCATCGTTGACGCCTCAACGACACCCGTCACCCCTGCCGTCATCCCAAACGGCGGAACTAACGGAATATCCCTCCCTCTTCTCTCTTTCTGCGTTTTCAAAGAACCTTCGATCCCCAGCTCGAATATTCCCTCGCATAAACCCCTCCAGCTCTCCCGCGTCCTTGGAATATCCCCTTCAATCCTCCCCCCCTTTAAAACCCCAGCCCTCTCCCAAACTTTTTCAATCCACAAAAATCAGAAATTTTTCCGAAATTTTTTTTTTTTGCGAGCGAGGCTTCAATGGCGCTGAAAGCTGTTCATGTTTCTGAGGTTCCTAACCTCGACCACGTCCCCGATCTCGCCGTCGCCGGATCTCGAGGCGGCGGAGCGCTGAGGGGATCTGCGTCGCCGGCGAAGTTACTGGTGATCGGGCACAGGGGGAAGGGGATGAATCTGCTGTCGTCGCCGGATCCGAGGATGGCGGCGGTGAAGGAGAACTCCGTCGCCTCGTTCAACGATGCGGGGAGGTTCGGCGTGGATTTCGTCGAGTTTGATGTTCAGGTGAGTTGACGCCGTTAGGTCTCCGTTATTCTTTTTCTTTTTCTTTTTTCTTTTTTTTGTCGTGTTTGNTTGTGTCCGGAGGTTTTGGAGACCGCACGTGTGGGGACGGGTTGGCACGTGCTGAGGTTTCATGGTTTCTTCGGTTTCGAGGTTGAGCTGGACCGTTGGATTCGGGAAAATTTTACAGAACCGCTGAACTTTTTTTAAACCAAACGCCTTGAACTTTTGGGTGTTTAATAAAGGCCCCCTGAACTTTCAAATTTTCCTATGGGATCCCTACCAGGTGTCGGTGGATCAACAAGCACTTCTCAGTATACTATACAACCAGAATAATGGCAGGCAACACGATTAACACTCGTAGGGGGGGTTCCTTGGAAAATTTTGAAAGTGTAGAGGGCTTTTGTGAGATGCCCCAAAGATCAAGGGGATTAAAGATCAAGGGGATTTGGAGGGCAAAATAGTTTCGGGTTTTTCTCGGCGAACTCCAAAACGTTTTGGGTTTTGTTGAGTTTACCTGTCAGATTTTATTTTATTTTATTTTATTTGAAAAAATGTTTTTTTTTTCTATTTCAGTACTTAATATGTTATAGTCCACAACACTTAATAATTTCAATAACGTTTTTCTCAAAAAAAAAAAAAATGCTTTTTTGATAGTCGGTTCGATTTGGCTATGGTACATGGGGTGTACAATTAACCCTACTCAATAATTTCAATAACGTTTTTCTCAAAAAAATAATTTCAATAACGAACTCAAAAGCTATGTTTGTTTTCTCGACAAGTCACATCTAACAAATTTGGTTAGTACTATGCATGCCTCCATGATTTTTTGGAAGGCAAGATTTCAATGTTCTTGGTGTCTAATTATGTATTACATAACACTTATCGTACTTCTAAACACATCAAAATTTGCTTGAATGCAAATAAATGGAGAATCGGAAATTACGAAAGCAATCCAGTGCTTTCTAGCCTAAATTATGAAGCAATCCAATCCTAATAGTTTAGCCGATACTTTGCTTATTTCCTTGTTGTATATAGTTTCATATCATATTCACGTTTAAAAAAAAGCATGGGCTTTGTTATTTAGTAAATGGCGAAAAGTATTCATATAGTCAATTGATTTACATTTTATCTTAATATACCTTTCGTCATACCTTGTGACATTTGAAATCCAGATTACTGATCTTTTATCTTTGTGGGGGTTTTGCTCTTTCATATTATTTAAAAAAAAAATCAGTGAATGAAGAACATTAGAAGAGAACCAACGGTTGCAATTTTGTAGGTGACCAAGGACAACTGTCCAATCATCTTCCACGACAACTTCATCTTCACTGAAGAAAATGTAAGAATTATTTCTTATATCACAAAAATTATCGAATTGAACTTTCCTTCAAAATATCGCTTATTTGATATGTTTATGTGACATTGGATGATACAGGGAAAAGTTTTGGACAGACGTGTAACTGATTTGTGCTTGGAGGAATTTCTTGCTTATGGCCCTCAGAGAGAACCTGAAAGGGTAAATTTTCTATCCTTTCTATCTTTTCTAAGTGTCTCACATCCATTCAGTTCAATTGTAGGATTTGTTGCACAATATTCTAAGAACAGTTCGATGATTATATGATTAAATATGTTTGAATTAATGACTCAAATAAGGTTAATACCTTTAAAACGATATCAGTCCAAGTGGTTAGCCTAGCCTGCATGTGCTCGTAGGACTTTGCAAATCCAACACTAGAAAAGAAAATCGATGTTTTGCTTACGTTGCATCCAAATTCAGGTGGGAAAACCATTGCTACGAAAGCTTAAAGATGGGAGAATTTTAAACTGGAATGTGGAAATAGATTCCCCTTTCTGCACATTGGAAGAAGCATTTCAAAATGTTAGCTCTCACTTGGGTTTCAATATCGAGCTCAAGTTTGACGACAATATTGTCTACCAAGAAGAAGAGCTCACTCGTATTCTTCAAGTCATCTTGCAAGTATGACACTTTCTTTGACTGTAGTATAATGGCTGAATGCTAGAATTTGGATAATATGTACTAAGTTTTGTTGAAATGTTTTGGCTAGGTGGTGTTTCAACATGCTGGGGATAGAGCTATTATTTTCTCGAGTTTTCAGCCTGATGCAGCTCGATTGATGAGGAAGTTGCAAAATGAATTCCCTGTAAGTTACAGTAAATTTTTTTGCTGATAAACTTTCCTGACATGAATCATGGTGTTCAAAGTTAGATATTATAAAGCAAATGCCACCAATGAGTTTGAATTTCGTTGGACTCTCACAGAAAAACCTCTATAGTATCAAATAGAGCAATTGTGCTGTCTAAGTCAATCTCTTGAATGTCTGCAGTTTAGAAATGCTTCAGATCATGTTCACATATGCCAGATCCATATGTCGATTTTCATGTCTTCTATCATGTATGCTGATATTGTTATATGAGATTGAATTTTAGTGTATATGTCAACATATTATGAGTGTAGAGTTACATGTTCCAAACTCTTAAAAACCGCACTTTCACTATCCTAATTCTGATTATTTTCTAGTTATTATGTGATGGATAAATAATAATGATAATCTCTGACATTTTGCACGATAGCCAACATCTGTTTGTTTTGCCAGTAATTTTTATGATATCTCAGACCTTGTATATTTTAATTGTGCACGATCAAAACACTAATCTAACACAGAAAAACCTGTCGTGCAGAAAGAAAACAGTAACAAGTGCGGCAATTATACTGTATAATCTACTTTCAGAAATTTCATAACTCGAAAATGTTTTTTGTTAGCAAATCCTTTTGATCCGTACAGTATAGAAAATGCTTTTCCTAGACCAGGTTTACAAATATCCCAGATTCCTGTCTATTTTGACGCCTACGATTACCCAATCGATGATAATATTGATAAATCTCATCATACTGTGAAATATTCCCAAATCTCAAATAAAATACTTATGGATATTCTTTGAATAAGGTGTACTTTCTGACCAACGGAGGAACTGAAATCTACACCGACGCAAGAAGAAACTCTTTAGAGGAAGCAATCAAGCATTGCTTAACAAATAACTTACAAGGGGTCGTATCAGAATCAAGAGCCATCTTCAGAAATCCGTCGGCAATACCAAAAATCAAAGAATCCAATCTTGTTCTTCTGACTTATGGCCAACTAAACAATGTACCCGAAGCAGTATACATGCAGCATTTGATGGGGATCAACGGTGTAATTGTCGATTTGGTTGAGAAAATTACGGAGGCCGTTTCAGATTTTATGGATGTAGATGGGGGGGAGGAGAAATTTGGGAGTTTAGTACGGGAGGGGATTGAGGAGAAGAGGCCTAGATTTTCACAGAGAGAGCTTTCTTTTTTGTTGAAGCTCATTCCTGAGTTAGCATGATTTGTGTGCTAATAAAAAGTGTTATGTTGAATACGTCTATAATATAATCAATGGAATAGTTACTGACAATGGTTTGAAAGTTATGTTGTAATCTTCAATTTGTCGGACTTATTGTTTTCGACTAGATGAGCAAAATCATCCCAAAATAAGTTTTTTAAAACCTCTTTCGGGAAATACACCTAAATTTTGTCAGTAATTATTTATGATGATACTGACAATGAAATCCAAAACAAATTGCAAGCAATTGAAGGGTCTAATGAGTTGGATGAATATATTTGTGTTTGCCTACTTCTCATGTTAGATAAGTTCAATTGTTTGGTGAAGATATTTAGAATGGTCAGGGACCGCGTAAGAGAATCTGGATTAGTTCCAGTGAGATTGATACTTAAAGCCTCATGTGGCCAAGAGGGAAAATCACAAAACATGCCAGCTACCTATGAGATCGCTGGTTTAATAGTTTGGAAATATTGAAGAAACAGTTACGACGAGAGATATTGTTGTTGATGACCGAAAGTTGGCTTTGACACGAATTAGCGATCTTCATCCAAGTTTCATGGCTTTACAATATTCTCTACTTTTTTTTTCCATAGGAGAGGATGGGTTTAAGCTTGGTGCGCAACTAGAGCATGATCCTAATAATCCTAATCGAAAGCACAAGGAAGTAAATATGATGGAGCTAGTACACCTGTTTCAGAATTCAACAACGAATGAATGAAGTCCATACACTAATACTTTCAGGAAAACTTTTCCAGACTTACATTGTTGATCTGTATCCCTGTATCGAAGAGGATGGATCGCATTGGGTGAGAATTAATCAATCAAAACTAAGAGCTGAGCTCTATTGTGGTATCGAAGATGCTGTTTTTCACGGTGATACAGATGGATCTCAATTTGGAAAAAGAATAATTTTGTCATCGTTATTCACTGGTGATCAGCGACATATGATGCAAAACTATCAAGATGCAATTGCTCTCTGTCGACTACTTGTAAATCCTGATCTATTCATCACGTTCACTTCCAATCCTAAATGGAGTGAAATAAAAGAAGCTATAAAAGAGGTTGGTGGCCAAAGACCTGACGAAAGACCGAAAACTGTAGCAAGAGTTTTTAAGATGAAGCTTGACCATCTAATGGATTATTTGCAAAAAAGACAACATTACAGGTGTGTCAATAAAATTCTAACATAATGTATGTTCATATAAATTTGATTATCACATAATTACAGTCATTAGAGAACAAATGCATTCAATTTCTATTGATTTTATTAATTTGTTTTTCGCAGTTGTGTATACAATTGAATTTCAGAAGCGGGGCTTACCATATGCACATATCTTACTTTGGTTTCATCTGGAATCTAAATATTCGACTTCATTAATGATCAACACTATAATTCATGTCGAGACACCATATAAGGATGTTGACCCAGTAGCATATGAAGCGGTTGCTCAATTTATGATTCACGGTCTGTGTGGCAAGGCCGATTCTAAACAAAAATGGAAAAAAACACTTCCTAGAGTCTTCTGTCAAATGACACAATCATTGATGATGGAGGTTTTCCAATATATCATCCGATAAATGATTGCACTAAATAGGTTGAAAAGATTAATGGTCAAGAGCTTGACAATTCATACGTTGTTCCTTACAATCGTGACCTCTTGGTTAAATACCAAGCTCATATGAATGTGGAATGGTGCAATCGTGGAAGATCGATCAAGTATTCTTTTAAATATGTTATTAAAGGCCCTGATCATCTCTCTATATCTCTTTAAATCCCCAGAGTAGATTCAACTATGACAAGAAATAATAGGGCAAAAAATGATGAGATATAGTATTACCTTGATTGCATGTATGTTTCAGCTCCAGAGGCCATTTGGCGGATATATGGATTTGATATCCATTATAGAACACCACCAGTTGAGAGAGTCCCTTACCACCTACCTGATGAAGAATCTATTCTGTTCAAAGACACTGACAAATCTGAATGAAATTGTTGATGACCTTTATGCTAAAAAAAAAAAATCAAAATTCAATTTGTAGATGGAGGCAAACAAAATATACCCTGAAGCACAAACACTCAACATATGCTAAATTCTCATCTAGCTTTGTTTGGAAGTTAGACTGAAAAGTTTAGAAACCAAAAAAAATTGGATGGAGTATTGGTCAGGTTGTTTATTCGCATCCAACTTCTAGAGAGCGATTTTATCATCGTTTGTTGCTTAATATCATCAAAGGCCCTACGTCTTATGCTCAAATAAGAACCAAAGATGGAATTGTATACGAAGCGTATTAGGAAACATGTCAAGCTTGATGATTATTAGACGATGATAAAGAATGAAAATTTATACTAGAAGAAGCGTCTTTTATCTCAACAGGACAACAAATGAGAAATCTATTCTCTAAAATTCTTTTGTTTTGTGAAGTAATCAATCCATTACCTCTTTGAGAAAAGTATTGGAAATTTCTAGCCGAAGGTATATTTGAAAGGGAGAGAGTTATTCTTGAACAGCCTACATTGACGATGACTGACAAACAGCTTAAGAGTCATACTCTAGTAGTGAAGGAATTTCAGCATCAGCAGCAGAATCAGGAAAAACAGGCGGCGGTCGACCGGTCCGGTCGACCGCATTCGTGCACAAGGGTTCCTGTGCGTCTGGAAGGAGGTCGGTCGACCGGCCCGGTCGACCGCAGATGTTTCGGTCGACCGGTGCGGACGACCGACGGCTCTCTGGATTTTTGGGGCTTCTGCTGGATGGTGATCGGTCGACCGGGCCGGTCGACCGGAATTGATCGCGGTCGACCGGGCCGGTCGACCGACGAAGCGGATATCAGTTTTTCAGGTTTTCGACCCGGTTCGTTTTGTAAGTTCTATATATACCTAAACCTGTTTGTTTAGGATATAGGTTGGACGAATTTGAGCAGCCAAAGAGAGAGAATCATTGCATCCAATTGTGAGAGAGCTTTGAGAGATCTAGAGCTTTGTTTTAGGGTTTGGTCTGAGAGATTTGTAACCCTATTTGTATTCTCTTGATTTCTAGTAGAAAGAACCCCCCCTCCTTGCCCCGTGGACGTAGGCAACTTGCCGAACCACGTAAATTGTGTGTTCTTGCTATGATTGTGGTTTGCATATTGTTTGTGGTTTAGTTCTAGTTATTGTTCGTGTTGCCCTAGAAAGCTTCCGCCGCGCACAACAATTGGTATCAGAGCTAGATCGACAACATGGGAGATGCAAGCACGTCAGGTTCGTCTCTAACAAAGGCGATACAGAGTCTGAGCATCAATAACACGAAGATTGATGTTCCGAAGTTCGATGGCAAGATCAATTTTGGATTGTGGAGGTGTCAGGTGATGGATGCTTTGGATGCACAGAATTTGGAGGAGACTCTTGAGTTAAAAGAGAAACCCGCTGAGTTGGAGGATAAGGTTTGGAGAAAGATGAACAGTAGAGCTTGTGGTGTTATTAGGTCATGCTTGACGCCGGATCTTATTTATGATGTTATGAACGAGACGTCGGCGAAGAAGATGTGGGAAACACTCAATGAGAAATATCTTACGAAGAGCATTGAGAATCGGCTTCACTTGAAGAAGAGATTTTACCAGTTCAAGATGAAGAGAGGGGTTTCCATCAGGGAGCATGTCAACAATTTCACTAAGCTACTTTCAGATATGGCCAATGTTGATATTATAGTTGAGGATGAAGACAAGGCGATGCTACTTCTGTGTTCGTTGCCCGAAGATGATTATGGTACGTTCGTTCTCACTATGATCAATGGAAGAACTACAGTTAGCTACAAGGAGGTGACCTCAGCTTTGGTGAACTATGAGTTGAGGAAGAGTGATGGTGAACCCTCCGAGAAGGCATCGGGAGATGCGTTAGCAGTTCGAGGCCGAGATCCAAACCGTCGTCAGTTCAACCGCTCAAAGTCAAAGAATAGGAGTGCCTATAAGAGTGTTGGTAGAAATCAATGTCGGTATTGTAAAGAAGAAGGACATTGGAAGATTGACTGCCCAAAGTGGAAAGAAAAAGCCGGAAAGAATAAGGGGAAAGCTGCACAAGCTTCAGAAGTGAATGTTGCAAAAGCTATTGGTGAGCATTCAGATTCAGATTCTTCAGGCTATTCATGCCCTGCTTTACCGTCGGTTTGCTATGCGGATTCCACGGAGTGGATGATGGATTCGGGAGCTACATATCACATCTGCCCTAAGAGGGAGTGGTTTTCTAGCTTTGAGGAGCTGGAAAGAGGGGATGTCGTGCTTATGGGTAATGACCACGTATATCCTATTAGTGGTATTGGTTCAATCCGGATCAGGATGCATGATGGTGTAGTAAGGGAATTGAAGAAAGTGAGGTTCGTGCCGCAGTTGACGA